TTCAGAAGATAAAACATGAACAAAAAAAGAGTAAGCAACATACCTTGATTTCTTCATCTGGAGGAGATCTTTGTCGAAATTGAGGTTGTCTTCGGTTTATTGAATTCGTCGAATTTTCGAAGTATTCTGGTTTTGCTTCGTAGCGATATCCTTGTTTGCTGTCGTTGTTATAGTCTCGTTCGTAGTCTCTGTTACTAAAAAATAATAAGAAGGTTAGTCTTGGGTCGAGATTTCCGTATGTAAGAAGAGTACAATGCGTTTATAATGTACTGAACAAAGAGAGAACAGTAAAAACGTGGCCAAACGTATGAAATAAACCGAGAAACTGTGCACATTGCCAAGAAACGTGGAAGGGGATATAGCAGATTCGTCGCAGTCGCCCGGTCGACCCAATCAGTACCATATCAGTACTTAAAATTCTAGGGAAGAGTGTATATACATCATGCGTTCAGCTTCACGATTTAATTAAGTCTCGTGATACTTTATTTGCTTTTTTTGCCACCAGCTTGTAAATTTTTAAGTGCAAGTTAGAAACTCTTGCACTTTTGGTAAAAATAAGTGGGAGTTGGTGTTCGACAGTGGTCGCGCTATTAGAACTGAACTCAAAAATCGATATCTCGAAATCCATTATTAGAAATAATTGATTGTAGTTTTTTTCAAAAACTTTCTAAATATTTCTGCTATATTTTCTTCGCAGACATGTGAAATCGTAATCTGACAGTATGTGAAAATCTTTATAAATAAAAAAGTTACAGGATTGCTGAAAATTTCAATGCACTAAAAGTAATTGGATGTGTTTTTTTTAAATTTTGAATGAAAAAAAAACAAGCCTATCGATTTTTTCTTATTTAAACATCTTGTAAAAGATCGGAACTTCAAAATAAAAAAAAGTTTCAATATCTAAAGTAGTTCTTAAGTTATCGCGTGTTTTGTGTTAAAAAGTTGAGTTTTTCAATTATCGCGATTAATGACGTTTTCTCGTTATAAAAAAATGGACACGCTAATGATATCCTTATAATTCCGTTTAAAATTCTCAGAAACATATGTAATGATTTTATCTAGTTATCTTTTCGAAAATAAAAGTCTTAAAAATAAGCGGTTTGTGATCGTGATTTTACTTTACTTGATAGAGAAAGGCGTACCGGAGAAATGTGGCAACGCCGCAACGGCACACCGTTATTATTTCTGTCACTCCGACTTAATAAGATCCCTATGCGATTTACTTCCACACATCTAAATACCGACCCAAAAGTAACAGTTGCCAGCACGGTATAAAGCAAATATATTGTTGTTATTAAAATTTCAAAGTATATTTGATACCAATTAAAGTTTTAGTTACGTAATCGAGGGCGCAAATTTTAAATTCATTGTTGCTAACCATGGACATATTCGGCGCCGGGCTCACTAACTGGAATTTAAAATTCCCCCTAGGGATTCAGGTGGCAGCTCTGCTGTAAAAAATATCAAGTTGCCACATTTATTTATTTATTTGCTGACGTCATTCGTTTTGACACTTTAGTTTTTGGTTTAATTACGAGTTTTTGATTGTGATACTTTAAGCTAAAAAATGTATACTAGCAGAGCTTGCAGTCGAACATTGTTCTTTTTAGAACCTCTTTTAGTGCGTAGTGTACAAGATAGCTTAATAGCCGTAAAAAACTCATCAACTCAACTTTATTAGAATATTTTGAACGGGAAAGTGCTAGCAATGGCCCTTTATGTTTCTTAAGTAGAAAGGTGAGTTTTGTTGATGTAAATAGTAACTGTTTATATATTTATAATTAATTTATTTTTTGTTTCCTAAAATATTTTGATTAAAAGAAAATATGTAAAGGTGGGTAGCGCTGTGACGCTCAAGCTTAATCACGTGACTAAAAGTTTATATGTGAACTATAGTTATTGTTATAGTCTATAAAATGAATAACTTTGAATTTTGACCGTTATTTTTTACCAACATGGCAAATATAAAATCCCTCTGTCAAAAAAGTTACTGATTTTCTTTAAATTGAGGGCCTGAACGAATCAGATAGGTCACTCTTTTTACTTTCGTGAAATAGAAAATGAAAATAATAAAACAAGTGACAGTTCTTCCCTCTTTTTCAAAAATCAACACGAGATTTCATAATTATTGTCAAAAGTAAAATGTCATCAGCTTTTGACATTTCTAAATATGACACGTATTGAAGGTTAATTGCCGCATTTTGCAGTTATTTTCCGTGAAAATAGTGCTTTTCTTAGTGTTTCTGGTGTTTTTCTTACGTTTTCCCCAATTTATGGACCTAACTAATTGTATTTTCTTGATTTTATAGCGTTTACAGTGTTCCCTTGGATTAAGTTTGTGGTGTTTGTGTACATTGTTTTTGAACTGTTGCTAACGTTACGTCGGCATGGCCGCAAGTTGCTAACCCAAGGATATATAGAAGAAGGATATTCAACTCCCTATAGCGGGCTATGTAGGAAAATATGCCGTATTTTGTCGAGGAAGACGATTACGTCACGACCAATGAGCGTCGAGTATTTGAAATTTTTGACTCATTTCACTGACAGACGTGATGAGATTATTATTGTAATTTATAGATCCAAACGTTTTTTGAAAAAATAATGTATTTTAAAGTTATTTCCTAGAGTTTGGTTTGGCCTTCTATATTTTGGTATTTGTCTACTAATAAATAATATCTTATTTTGTATTTCGATGTATGGAAATCCGCAAGTTTTGTATCTGAAGCCGCAAAGAAATTTCGCTCTATAATGAGAAAAATGTTATTGTATCTTTTTAGACGTGTAGAATTACAAAATTTCTTATTTCAGATGTTCTAAATGTGAGTGCATGTCAAAAATTTAAATATATACTTGATATATTATTTCAAGTTATATGCTTTGACATTTTTTGGAAGTAAACAAATATTGAAGAAAGTGTTGTGCCTTCACAGAATTTAAATTGGCATTAGGAATAGATTTCCTTGATTTAGTAATGATATTGCTCATAGAAATTGATAATGTGAAGAATAACAATACAGGAACATAGAATAACAAGAAAGAAATTCTAGCAGCAAGTTAGGTTATGAGATAAATTTTATTTATATAGTTTGTTTAAAGAGTTTAGTCTGAAAAAAAGTTAAAACAATTATTATTGTCCAGGTCATATTTGATAACTGTTGTTAATTGATAACATATTACAGGGACACAGTAAAAAGACAAAACATTTAGACCCTTTGAAAGAGAAATGTTTGCAATGGATATTAATAAATTCTAGCCAATTTGTACGATGTACAATGCAGGCAATATTTCTGCCTCCTAACGCACTATTCGCTTAAAAGAAGATGTGGGGTATTGTATTTATACCTAGGTAGTTAATGATACATGGAATATATTTCTATATTATTGCAATAACGATGTCTTTATGTTGTATTTTTTTAGAACAGATTTATTATTAGTTGGCTAGTGTGTTAGTAGGATAGCCATTGGTAGTTATAAAGTATGAAGTCGTCAGGTATTAATAATATGAATTGATCAAAGCTTATACATTTATTGTGAATTTAAGTAGTTAGAGTTTTGGTTGTTTAATAAACGAATTAATGTGCTTATTGTGTATCTAATTAAAAGAACAATGAAAAGTTGAATACCATAGGGGTACGTATGTTATACAAAGAATTTGCATCAACATTTTTTTGGTTATATACTTGTACTCATATTTGTTTCTTGAACTAAAGAATTATACAGTACCTACTACACAATATAATAATCTGCAGCTACATAGGTAGGTAGCTGTTGGTAATTAAATTTTTTATCTAATATAATATCTAACATCAGAAATATTGTTAATTATCAACTATAAACAACTAAGAACTAGAATTATCAACTATAAACACAATATAATATACTGTATCTTAAGCAATATGTAATTATTTAACAATTATTTTTTTTGGGAAATAAAAACTGGTACTAAATTCTTTTTGACTATTTAATTTCTAAGTCACAAATAATGGTGGACAAATAGCAAGAAAATTATACAAGTAAAACATAATTTTAACTTATTTCTCTAATGGAATTTTGGTATTGATCTACTTAGTAGGATATGCAGTTTATCATATTTTTGAATATTTATATTCAATATTGTTCAGGAACAGCCCAATTACTCTGAAAAAAAAATATATGGTCAAATTCTTTGAAAAGAAACTTTTAAAATCAGTAATGATAAAAAAATATATAATTGTTGTATAGCAGAACCAGGGGACACAGAATTAGGGGAATTAACAATAGATTATTAAAAACTGCCTTCTCTTAAAAAAGTAGTATTATATGCACTTAGAAAGACTATAAAGGATATAAGTACGCATAGAAAGAAAGTAAGTATCTATACTACTGATATATATATATATATATATATATATATATATATATATATATATATATATATATATATATATATATATATATATATATATATATATATATATATATATATATATATATATATATATATATATATAACTATATATGAATACGATACCTACAGTATACAATATTATTAGTATAAAAATAACAGCACAGTCGGCACACTTTAAAATAAAAAAGCAGCATAATATTCAGGTATGTATAAAAGTAAAATTTTCTCAAAAATATTAGAATATGAAATAAATTGCAACTAAATTTTAATTAATAAACATAAACAAATAAAATTGTCAGTGTTATTAAAACTTATGCAAATATATGTTACCTTAATACTTGTCTTTAATCCTACTCTTCTGACATGGCTTTTCAAACTTATCCCCAAATCTCAATTCTTGTTATTAAGAATAATATTTATGAACTTTTGTTTCCATATTAATTTCAATATATTTGAATAAAACTGGAAAAATAATCAATATTGACACTTGAAATATTAATTTCTTATGTCCTTAAATTATTTATATCGTGTTATACATAATATTTACATAAATATTCAATTTAAAAATAGATCAGCACTTGAACGAGTGAATATAAAATAGTATATCATCAATTTCTATGAGCAATATCATTACTAAATCAAGGAAATCTATTCCTAATGCCAATTTAAATTCTGTGAAGGCACAACACTTTCTTCAATATTTGTTTACTTCCAAACAATGTCAAAGCATGTAACTTGAAATAATATTTCAAGTATATATTTTAATTTTTGACATTAAGCACTCACATTTAGAACATCTGAAATAAGAAATTTTGTAATTCTACACGTCTAAAAAGATATAATAACATTTTTCTCACTACAGAGCGAAATTTCTTTGCGGCTTCAGATACAAAACTTGCGAATTTCCATACATCGAAATACAAAATAAGATATTATTTATTAGTAGACAAATACCAGAATATAGAAGGCCAAACCAAACCTCTAGGAAATAACTTTAAAATAAATTATTTATTCAAAAAACGTTTGGATTTTGGATCTATAAATTACAATAACAATCTCATCACATTTGTCAGTGAAATGAGTCAAAAACATAGGTTACCGTCAATTTATATGTTTTCAATTTAAAATACTCGACGCCCATTGGTCGTGACGAAATCGTCTTCCTCGACAAAATACGGCACGTTTTTTTTGGGCCAGTCGAATATCCTTATTCTATATATCCTTGTGCTAACCTAATAAAATTAACACTAGAAAAGCCCGCGGGAACTGTCAAATTCAAAGTTATTCGTTTCACAGACTATAATTATAATTCTCGCTATGCCTCAAAAGTCTTAAACTTTTGAAATGGCTATCAGTCTGTTCTACTGCGACCATTTATGATATATTGTTGCCCTCAATCTTTTGATCTCTAGATTACAGTTTCCAGTTTTAGTATGTTCAAAATGTCTAATAACTTGAAGACTGTACAATTTCGAGTTAATATAATTATTTTTTTCAAATGGAACGATAGTGGCTCATTAGCATGTTTGGAAAAAAAAATTAACGAATAATTTGTTACCATATACCACAATTTAGAGTCAAGAATGGTATAAGGGTATAGTAATATTTCGAAAAACACCCGGTATATGATCAAAACACTTTAATATTAGGTACTATCTTACCGTTGAAGGGATTTTGATTCGTAATATCTCGAATCGTTTGAATTTACTTTAGCTCGAATTTCTCTGCTTTCTTTGTTATCTCTATAAGATTTCCCGGAATCTTCCTTATCGAGGAACTTTGCCTGGTTTTCGGCACTGGGTATTCCTTGTATGGCTTTTGGTCCTCGAAAAATACCTCTTCCTCGTAGGAGAAGGTACGAGTTGGACGTTCTTTGTCAAAATCAGACGAGTTATTTCTAGATCTAATAAATAAAAAAATATATTAATATCTATATAACTATATAAAATAAAAATTGAAATTAGTGAGGGAATATATAAAAAACAGAAGGAAAAGAAAATAATCGTAAACTCGTAACCGTATACACCAATGTACACTGTTGTAGACATTCACACTCACACACAACAACCACACCTACAACAGTGTACTAGTAACTGCCTGCCAGCATCATCAGTACGGTAAAATCAGCAAGCGATGACAACGATCCCAAAAAATATAAACCAGGAAGCAAATGATGCACGAGGTACCGTCTGTAACCTAGTAGATGAAAAAAAGCAGATGAAAACAAAAGGAGCAAACGGGAGCCTAAGACCCCAATTTGCAGCCTAGAACTAAAGTCTGGGGTCTTAGGCTCCCGTTTGCTCCTTTTGTTTTCATCATCTGCTTTTTTTTTTCATCTACTAGGTTACAGACGGTACCTCGTGCATCATTTGCTTCCTGGTTTATATTTTTTGGGATCGTTGTCATCGCTTGCTGATTCCTTACCGTACTGATGATGCTGGAAGGCAGTTACACTAGTGCACAATGATGTAGGTGTGGTTGTGTGTGAGTGTGAATGTCTACAACAGTGTACATTTGTGTATACAATTACGAGTTTGTTGAGGGCTTGCCGATTAATTTTTTCCTTCTGTTTTTATACCTATATATAAATATTTTTTAAGTTTTTAAATTCTTGGTTTTAAGTCAGTAGTTGATAAAACGAAACTTATGTTTACATTTAGTTTAATGATTGACGTTTCGACCAATTTTAATTCGGTCTTCTTCAGAATCACAAACGTAGAACATAATTTTCGTTAACAAAACGTTTTAAAATTCAAATATAAATACATTTAGGGCTTTTATAATTTAGAATATAAATAAATCACAATCACGAGTATAAGTCATCGGCTTAAATTTTAACCCAAACCACTATGAATTATATTAATTTTTTATTTTGTTCTTGTTTTTTTATATTCTTCTGTTAAGTTTATGTCTACCAAAAATAATTAACACTAATTCACTTTAATATACCAAAACATTTTGCTTTTGCACTGGACGAGCATTTGACTATGTTAGCATCATCGGCAGATAGTTTAAACTGAAAGTTAGAAAACTAAAAGTTTTTTAGTAGAAACTTAGTTTTAATCATCAGCTGATGTTGCTAACATGGTTATCGAAATGCGCGTCCAATGCAAAAGTAAAATGTTTTTGGTGTATTGTAGTGAATAAATGTTTTATTTTGTAGAAATATCTAAATTAAATAATATAATATATTACCTAATATTTTCATCAAACCCATCATCTTCGAAATATTTCTCTTTCTCACTCTTCTTCCTATCTTCACTATATCTCCCGTTTCTTTCTCTCTCATTGTAATAGTACGTATCTTTCTTCTCCTCTTCTCCAAAATATCTCTCTGAAGAAATAATTGACTTTTCCAAGTACTTATTTCCATTCCTATTTAACAGTTCCTTTTCTAACGATTTCCGGAAATTTTCTTTGGCAATTTCCCGTTCATTTTCTCTATAATCGTCTTTGACTTCACGTTCCCTAACTGAAGATTTCTGTTTAAGTAAATACTTGTTATCACTAAACTTTGAAATTGGTTTCTCTAAATATTTTATTTTATTATTCGATTTTCTGTAGTCTTCGTCTAAAGATTTGGAGAATTTGAGCTCGTCATGGGTATACCTGCAAAAACCATTTATATTTTAGTATATTATTTCATTTTTATAGAAGTTTTTTGAGTTTTGAATAAGAGTATGCCCTTAGCAATTAGGCAAAGAAAATGAAGTCCTCCTACTCTGGGAGCCAGCCCACAAAGGGATAAAAGGTAATAAATAAGCAAACGATCTAGCTATAAAGGAGAGAACTCCACTAAGTGGATTAGAACTGTTCTGCTTCTCAAGTAGAAACCAACTTAAAGCAGAACTCAGGAGGTTCTTCAGTTCTTCCAGGTTGAGAGAAGATTCCATCCGTAACCGGGAATGGGAGTTTGGTCTGGTAATCGGGAAAAGTTCGTCAGAACTTACGACCAAAATCAAAGATTTTCCTTGACTTAAGTAAGAACAATCTTCGGATTGTCGAGGGGTTTTTAATAAGACACTGTCTCTAAAAAACACTAGAATACCTCATAACCGAGACGAAAACCATTCGGGCCATAAACTTTGGTACGACTGATATCGAAGATGGAGATCAACCTCTGTAAAAACCGTCTCAGATGCAGGCTTTTGTCAAAGCCCTAAGACTGTATAATAACTTATAACTCAAGGAAAAGAGGGACATAATAGATTAACTTCCTTCCTCCCATAAAATCTAGATACTAGATTAGATCTACTAGATCTAGATACAGTGTATATGCCATCAAAAATTGAAAAAAAAGAATAATGAAAAAAAGAAAAATTGACGGAAAAGGAAATGATATAATAATGAATTAAATTAATATGGAATACATGTATGGGTAAAAAAATAACGAAATTTGGTAAAACAAAAAAAGAAATTCGTTATACCTCGAGTAGCGTTGATCTATTTCTGGAGATTTTTCCCTGCTGATATTTTCTCTAGAACTTTCTCTGAAGCTTTCCTGATTCCTGAAAGGTCTTGGTAAAGTCATATGTTGAGTGTCCTGCATCAAATAAATTGATGAATCTGCAGGATCGCCGCTCCAGTCTTCATCTTCTGTAACAAAAGGATAAATTACTAATTAAACACTTCAGTTATAATAACATATTTAGATATGACTCTTTCAACAGTAAATTTTTATCAAAGCTGTTGTGTATGTTACAAAAAAGAAATAATATATAGTGTTTTCCATTTAAAAAGACAAGACTTGTTTATTATTTTAGTTTGGCATTCAATTTTGAACATCCTATAGAATTTAAGATTGCTACATTTATAATAAAGAAAGTACAGTCCAAATCTACTAAACACCTAATGGTAACAACAATAAATATACGAATTTCTTAAAATTATTGCCAACGTAACGCGGAAAATCCGAATAGCCAACCGTAGATGCCTGACGCATCACTGTTGCAGGACTTTATATACCGGTGGGTCTCAAATGTAGCTCACCCCTATAATCTTTTTTATTTTTCAGATAAAAACGAGATTTGGTACGTTAGTATACAACATAAATCAGGATTCATTGACGTATTCAATTATTTTCGACCACCTCCTGTTTCACCGAAAATGATTACATACTTTTAATTTTTAAATGGCACCCTCTGTATTTTTTTAGTCTATTCGATAGAAAATGATACTCTGAATAGAATGACATATCATATGTCAACTTTTGACATTTTCGCTTAAAACAAAATTCTTGATCATAAGCCCTCAGAAACTTCTTCGAGTGTCTTAGACCATTGCAAGATTTCCATTCCAGGTTGCGGATGGAATCTTCCAAGTTCTTGAGTTCCGCCTTGAGTTGGTTACCACTTGGAAAGCAGAACGGTTCTGGTCCAGTTAGTGGAGTGTTCGCTCCTTTCCTAGCTAGATTATTTGCTTTTTCATTGCCTTCTATCCCTTGGTGAGCAGGCACCCAGTGTATGAGGACTATTTCTTATCTGATAGTCAAGCAGCGTTAAAGGCGATCAACAGTATCAATCAATTCGAAATTGGTCAAAGAATGCATAGAGAAGCTGAATAAATTAGGCAAAGAAAACAAAGTCCTCCTATACTGGGTGCCTGCTCACCAAGGGATAGAAGGCAATGAAAAAGCAAATAATCTGGCTAGGAAAGGAGCGAACACTCCACTAACTGGACCAGAACCGTTCTGCTTTCCAAGTGGTAACCAACTCAAGGCGGAACTCAAGAACTTGGAAGATTCCATCCGCAACCTGGAATGGAAATCTTGCAATGGTCTCAAGACACTCGAAGAAGTTTCTGAGGGCTTATGATCAAGAGAAAATCACAGATCTTCCTGGGTCTGAGTAAGAAAAATCTTCGATTGTCACGGGGTTTTTAACAGGACACTGTCTCCTCAATGAACACCTCAGTAGATTGAAACTAAGAAGAAACGGCGAATGCAGATTCTGTGGGGAAGATGGGGGAAACACCAGTACACCTCATCACTGAGTGCCGAGACGACAACCATTCGTGCCATGAATTTTGGTACGACTAATATTGGAGATGGAGAACTACCCTCTATAAAACCGTCCCAGATACTGGCTTTTGTCAAAGCCCTGGGACTGTATGATGAGTTATGATTCAAGAAAGGGGGACACAATGGATCTGTAAGGTCGAAGTGATTAACCCCCCTCCCACTCATTCTAAATTCTAAAAAAAAATGTCAACTTTTGACATTTTCGCTTAAAACAAAATTCTGTTTTAAATTTAAGCATTTTTTTACGAATAATTTGATACCACACACTTGGTATTTCGAGTCAAATTGTCTTTATGAATAGCGTTTTGCAATTTCAAATAACCCATAGTGTCATTTTCTATCGAATAAAGTAACAAAATACCGAGGGTGCTATTCAAAAATCAAAAGTTGTCGTCATTTCCGATAAAACAGGAAACAATTGAATACATCAATCAATCCTAATTTATTTCATACACTAACCTACCAAAGCTTAGTTTTTTTTTCTGAAAAAATAAAAAAGTTATAGAGGTGAGCCACTTTTGAGACGCAGCTGGTATAGCCACCATCAAAATGCTAGCTAATTTGTAATAATTCTGAATTATTCAAATCTAAATTAGACAACGAAAATAATTAATCTCTTGTAATTAATAAGTAAAAGTCACTATTCGTAAGGAACCCAGATATTTATTTATCTCTTCGCCGTATCGGAGATAGTATTACACCTGAGCTATGGCCATAAGGTCATCATATTTATGAGCAAGATGGTTTCGGCGTTGTGTAATAAAATTCCTTGCCTTCGCCTGCTTTAAAACATACACATTCGGTTGGCTTGACAGGCCAGATGTCAAAAGTGATAGACGTACACGTTCACGGCTTTCTTAACGCATACATTCACAAAATGAAAGTACCTGCCAGTATGTATTCTCTTTCTAAAGATTAAAAACATTATTGATTGCACTCTTGGTGGAAAAAATTTTGTGATACAAAATATCATTTGATTACAAAAAATATAACAAATTAAGCAAGTACCTACTTTTATTTAAGCTTTCTATTACTTTTTGATCAGTTTATGGATTTGTTTGACAGTGTTCGGCCTTTTAACTGTAACTGATTTATTTTATGTCAGTATATAAAGTATATAAAAAAAGAGTGGTAAAAGTAAAAGGAAAACAAAATTTTCCAAAAATACCAATTCCGTCTCAAAAAAATATACTTCTTGTTTCTTGTTTTGAAATGATTCTTACAAATCAATCAGCATAAAAACCAATCGACTCTGTATCATCGAGTGTTATTGAACTTTACTTTCATAGTCGGTCATCTCCAAACAATTTTTTATATCATCCTTCAATTTCTTTTTCGAGCGTACCAAGTTCGATACTGTTATAATCCTCTTCAGAGAAATAAGTAAATATAGAAATATCGTTATTTGGGTATCCCCTTCCAACATTCTTCAACTTCATGCATAAGCCTACGGAGGGTGTTCTATCTTGGACCCATCAGTCCCAAACATGTTCAATGGGAGATAGATCGAGTCGTCTTGATGGCCATGGTAAACAGTTAAGGTGGTGCTGATTCATAAAGGCTATTGAAGCTCGAGCAACATTTGTTCTGGCATTGTCTTGCTGGAAAATGGGGTCTTGGATGGTATAAAAGTATGTGATCGCATGACTAACGTCTAGTGGAACGTAGACGTTAGTCATGCGATCACATGTCAACACAGGCACCCAACAATGTTGCCGTTTGTTGTCCCTTAATTTCATGACTTTCAATTGAAAGCTAAAGACGCTTATTTTTGCGGTTTATTTCAAAGCTGTATTGTTATTTGATTTATTTTGTTAGAAAGATTAGCGTCTAGCCGGACCGTACAAGTGTACATCCCGCAGTTCCGCATACGCAGAAACGATAATCAGTCGTGTATTTCGCGTGCAATCTAAACAAAAAAATGTACCCCAGAGATTAAGCAACGCAATCAAAACATGCTTAGGGCGTATTTCGATTACTGTTGCCGACAGCTGTAAAAGAAATTAAAAAAAAAATTAAAACTGCTGTAAAGAAATAAAAAAGATTCTATATTTGTGGAATTCGAACCTCGAACTCCTAGATCCCTAAGCGGTCGCCTCACCCACGGAGCCACATGCTGGTTTAGTAACCAGACTATAGCATTACCATAGAGAAATATAAAATAAAAGAGTTGTCATTTCCATAGTCAAAAGTAGGCAACACGTTTAACGAGGATCGATTGTAGCGCACCCTTGAGCCCTAACTGAACTAATTGAAATATGACAGACGTTATCGGTAAAATAGGTATCTGCATTGCCTACCACAAAAAAGGCGGGCTGTTTAAATGTGAATATAAAATTTTATGTATTTTTAAAAATATTACGAAATAAAACTGCAAAAAATATAATGAAAGTTTATTTTTTGGGCACGGAATATTTGAAAAGTATAAACTATTGTACACTTTTCAAATGCTTACAGTTAAATGCTAAATTAAATTTGATAATATAAAACATATATGCTGAATTAACTTCGGGGTAAACTCCTGATGAATTTCTCTGTACACTAATGCCAAAGTAATGCCAAATAATTTAGTACTAATACCAATAATGCAAATCTTGTACACCACCAAAATACACCAGCGGTTTACCCTTCGATTTACCTATAGTATTATAAAACGTATTTAACAACGCCACTAACAAAGCATATAAGATCGCAGGGTTTGCAATCTATGCTATTATAACAGATAAAGATTTAAATAAGACATCAAAAATTAATTCACCTTTAAGTTGAATTTATAAACTCAGCAGTCAGCAGTTGAAGTTCAGTTGAGGTAGCAAATGTTCAACACTATTAAATGAAGGCGCAAATTTATAGTCAGTTCGTTTTACGTTCACAGAGTTCAGAGATGGGCAATGTCTTTACATATCGAACTTGCTTTGCATGATACCCTTTCCTGGATCGTGTTCAAATCACCACATCGGCTGAACAAAATATTACATGATGATGGCAAAACACAGCACAAAATATAAAGTTCAAATCATAGAGAAATATAAGGTCTCTGGTTCCTCGGGAAATAAAACTTCGTCCATAATTTCTGTACGCACAAACACAAAACAAACAAAGTTTATGCTACACAAAATAATAACAAAATTCCAAAATTCAAAACAAAATTGTAAACAATTGCAAAATACAAATAATTTGTTGTCATGTCACTTGTCATTCTTGTAATGACACGTGACAGGTAGCAGGTGGCGACGCTTTGGAGCCCTAACTGAACTATGCAACATTATGGCCAAGTTAGACAACCTTTCAAACACTCTTTTATTTTAGTTACTTTATGAGCATTACTTTGTTCTGCCGTTCCACAAATATACGCATGCGGAACTGCGGGTTGTAAAGTGGCACGGTCCGGCTAGACACAAATCGTTCTAACAAAATAAACCAAATAACAATCTTTCAAATAAACCGTAAAAATAAACGTTTTTTTAGTAAGCTTAGCTTAGATGATGTATTAGATGTATTAGTTATTAGAAATAATAATAATTGCCTGGAATTTGATATCTATAGGAAAAATACCACTACACGCAGATATATTTTTAATGAATCATATCATAGTGTTGAACATAAAATGGCTAGTTTAAATTTCTTAGTTCATAGATTACTTAGTTTTCCACTTTCCAGCGAAAGATATGAAATAGAAAGAGATTACATTAGGAATGTAGCTAAGTGTAATGGATATTCTCCTTCACTAGTTGATAAAATAATTAGAAAACGTAGGTATAGGTTAACGATTTCTGAAAATTCGACTTTTCAAGTGGAGAAAGATACGTCAAAATATTTTTCAATACCGTTTGATAGAGAGTTATCCCGTGGTCTAAAAGGAATTTTTTAAGAATGTCAATTATGAACTTGTGTATAGTGCTAATAATAAATTACAACAATTATTAGGTAGTCCAAAGGATAAAACATCTCCACTGGAAAGGTAGGGTATTTATGAAATTTCTTGTAAAGATTGTAATCAGAAATATGTTGGGCAAACTAGAAGATCAATATTAACTAGATTTAAAGAACATTTAGCTCAGATAAGATATGGTAGACCGGATAAATCTTGGGTTGCCGAACATATTGTTGATAAAGAACATTTTATAGATCTTAATAATTTAAAATTGATTAAACAAGTCTCAAATTATAGACAATTAGACGCATATGAAAGCATCAGAATTAATAAATGTAAAGATAGTATGAACAGAGACAACGGTCCAATTCCTTCAAGTTCTTTGTTCCTACTGCTCTAGTGGTGGAAATTTAACTGTTACGCTCGGTGGGCTCTGACTCGGTTGGCTAGATCTTGCACCGCCCACTCGATGCCCACTGAGCGAGTATATAAACGCTCAACTTGTGGATTGTATTTTAGTTCATAATCATCTGCTGATGATGCTAACATGGTTAGCGAAACGCGCGTCCAGTGTAAAAGTAAAAGTGTTTTGGTGTATTGTGGTGATTTAGTGTTTTTATTTTGCTGTGTAACACCAAAGGTTCCAACCCTCAACTGTAAGCTTAGCTAACAATTGAAAATCATGAAATTAACGTTGTGAACAACAAACGGCAATACTGTAGGGTACCTGAGTAGATTAGTTGGACGCAGACGCTATTTGATCGCATGTGGCTGCACCACTTCATGGATGTTATTTTCTCTCTAATAAAATCAGTGGTGATCTGCTACCATGTGCAATATTATTCCAAAACATATCGCCGACGTGTGATGGACTGACGTTCTCTGTCAAACCGTTGATTGCGTCTTTCACCACTTCGTCTTCTTACCCTTGCCCTTGACTGTCCATCGTGCATCACCAAACAGAAGTGGGATTCACGAGAAGATCTCATGATTCCCATTCCTGAGTCCACTGAAGTCTCCTCTACATACTCAAGGCGGTTACACCGATGTTCAGTAACAAGAGGCGATACATCGTACATTTACCAATTAGTCATACATGTTCTTCAAACCAAATATAGGTGTTTTTTAAGTGTCTTAAAAGTGACTCACCCCTATACGTTTTTATTTTTTTAGATAAAAAAATGAGATTTGGTATGTTAGTATATGACATAAATTAGGATTGATTGACGTATTCAATTGTTTTTGGTCACTTCCTCTTTCACCGGAAATGCCTACAACTTTTGATTTTTAAATGGCACCCTCGGTATTTTTTTACTTTATTCGATAGAGATCATCAATTAATATCTTACGTTATTCGATAAAGATCATCATATAGTTTATTATAAAGAGATCATACAACATTCATCATAAAAAATCGTATTTTAAATTTCAATCTAGAGTGCCATGGCTATGTTAAAAACACTAATTTTTAATCAAGGAGCCTTGGAAAAATAGACTTGATAGTCTAATGTCTTTAGTGTCTTGTCCTGACCGGCTAAAACATACCCAAATCGTCTTTTTAATCATATCTCAATTTTTCCAACTGGAACGAGGGTGGCTCATTAGAGTATTTGGAAAAAGCATTTTTTACCAGTAATTTGATACCACACACTTGGCATTTGTGTATTTGTGTCAAATTTTCGTTATAAACCGCATGTTATAATTTAAAATAAAGCATATGCGCAAATATCAAAAGTCGACATATGATTTGATGATGATTTTCTATCGAATAAAGTAAAAAAATACCGAGGGTGCTATTTAAAAATCAGTTTAAAGTTGTAGTCATTTCCGTTGAAACAGGAAGTGGCAAAAAACAATTGAATACGTCAGTAAATCCTAATTTATGTCCTATATATACATACCAAATCTCGTTTTTTTAACTGAAAAAGTAAAAAAGTTATAGGGGTGAGCCACTTTTGAGACACACCCGGTATATATTTTGGAATCTCTCTCAGTTTTCTTATTTCTCTGGAAAATCCTCGTCGAAATAACTACTGTAAATCGGTACAAATAAAAGGATATCCCGTACATACGTATAGCTACTTAGCGATACTACAACCACAGCGTAAGAATTTCGTTTTTTGTCAGAATTTAAATCGCCTAGCTATAACGGTGTCTGGTATGGCTTTCTACATATTCAACGGCATCCATAATATACAAGAAAGAAAAGCTGATTTGAATTTTATTTTCAAATTACGTCATGTTTGTTGGGTATTTTTTCTCTCTAGGCATCGAAATATTTAGTGTTTTTTGAGATCGAAGTAATTACAGGAAACTGTTAAGTTTTAAATACCTACACTAGAGATCGTGTTTACCGTACGGGAATGGTGGCTTTATTGAAAATAAATCCAATTAGTGTACGTTATAAAATCCTAAAGGAAATAGTAAAATTAAATTAGATTTTTCGATTTTAAATGTATCCAGTTTAATCAGTTTTATTATTTAGCGTATTAACTATAGATTAATACTTTGAAGAACTACACATGTTTCTATGTTTCTAGTTTATTATTGTCTATATTATATGGGCAATTTAAAAATAAGAACCTCTATTCTTCCGCAAAAATAAAAATCTATAGGCACCAAGTCCGGCGGCCTCGACGGCCAACGGCTGGAATCTTGGTTGGGCTATTCAATTATTCTCGAAATTGGTTGCAAAAATTTGCTGATAACTTCAGCGTTCTGTTTGTGGTTCTGTGGTGGTGCCTCGCCTTGCTGGAAAAATATGCTTTCATCAATAAGGGGTCAAAGCCTACTAGTTAAAAGTTATAAAAATTCTGTATTTCAAAGGGGACTATAACAAAAATATGAAGTGTGCTATATTTTTTAGGTTTTTCATAAACCATGTTCGTAAAATATACAGGGAATTCCAAATAAAAAATCAATTTTTCTGTTGATAATTCTTAAATTACTAATTTTAAAAAAATTATACTTAAGCCTACTAAATATACTTAATTCTACGTAAAAATATACTTTGGAAATGTTTTCATAGAAATATAAAACTTTCCACAGCAAAAAATTACAGCAATTTGTTAAAAAATGCACATTTTTGAAAAATACCCCGTAACTCCAAAACGGAAACAGATATCGATGTGAAGTTTTTTTCATGTTTTTGATAAAAATTGAGCTCCAGACACCAACATTAGTTTTCGTCTATCTCTTATAGAAAAGGGTGTTTCCCCTTTAAATGCGTCCAGTTTGGCCCACCCTGTACAGTCATTCGATTCAGTTCAAATCTCAACGTGTAGTTGCGGCTTCGATACTACTGGACCCTCGACTGGACCTATTCGAACTATCTGAAGTGCATAGAGGACTTTTTTGAACAAAATAAATCTAAAAAGAAAAGAATCTTTAAAAAAACATGATGTGGAATAGATCAAACTAAATAATTGCAATAATCACAACAACCCAGTCCAAAAAATTTGGTAAATTTTTTAACTTTTGTACAAAACGGTACTCCCCTATACAGGGTTGTTCACCACATATGACACGGAGTATTGTAGCTAAATGATAAGATCTTTACAAATTGCAAGTTTTGGGTTCGTTGAAGGACTATTAGAGCTACAATTTAAAAATATTTTTACAAGATACAGAGTGTCCCAAATAAGTAAAAAATATTATAGTTGTATTTTTTTAAATGGAACACCCTGTATATTATCCTATTTTTGGATTGTACGATTGAAAAAAAGGTAAATTTGATTAAGGTTTATCATACTTAAACCTTACCGTTTTTGAAATATTTTCAATTTTATGAAATTGCAGTAAAAATTTTAAGGCTTGATTTCTCCAAGGGTATGAACGTTTTTAATACTCAATATTTACTAAAGATTATTTATTGATCAAATATTGTGCTGCAATAATAAAAATTTTACTACCTTATACAGAGTGTCCAAAAATTTATATTAAATAATTACTAGCTTTAAATGGCAATAACTTGTTTAATTTAAATGGAACACCCTGTATGTTTTACGTGCATCATATGCAAAATTTAATTGTCTATCAAATTTTATCATACCATTTTTACCTATCTCTTCAAGTTTTCCTAGAAAATGCATTTTCTTATAATTTAGACCTCATTTATCATTTTTTACCCATGGAATATTGACATTTCAGATTTTTTAAAGCAACATATACATATGTACAAAATGTACAGGTGGTAAATATTGCATGCCCATTGGTATACAAAACAAACTATTTAAATTTTTGTAAAAGAGTATACCAATTAAATATACCATCATTATTTCTGACCAAAAATAAGTTAATTACATACTTTTAAATTGTTTTAATTAATAAAGTATTCTAAATAAATGTGGATTTGGTTCAGAAATCAATATAATAATAAGATAAAAATGAACGTCTCTGTTCTTATAAATAAGCATTCGTCAAAAGATGAAATAAAATTTATAAGGTGTTACTTTTTACCACACTGTCTAATACACACACAAAATTCAGTTTTTTAGTATTTGGAGCAATTATTATTAGTCAACGTAAACAGTCAATTAATGTAGTTTGAATACTGGGATCATATTAATTGGTCTTCTTTAACAAAAAATATTTAAACATTTTTTTTATTTTTTAATGAAATCAGCGAACTATATCGACAATATTAGTATCTGTACTGTGAAAATTTGTTACATATTTAAAAATTAAAAATGATCTAAAATGTCAATATTCCATGGGTATAGTGATAATGAGGTCTAAATTCTAAGAAAAAGCATTTTCGACGAAAACTTAAAGAGATGGGTAAAAAATGGTATAATACAATTTGATAGACAATTACATTGTGCATCTGATTCACGTAAAATATATAGGGTGTTCCAATTAAGCAAGTTATTGCCGTTTAAAAAGCTAGTAATTATTTAATATAAATATTTGGACACCCTGTATAAGGTAGTAAAATTTTTATTTTGAAACACAATATCTGATTAATAAATAATCTTCAGTAAATATTTAGTATTAAAAAACTTAGAAACCCTTGGGGAAATGAAGCCTTAAAATTTTACTGCAATTTCATAAAATCAAAAATATTTCCAAAAACGGTAAAAGTTTAAGGTTATAAACCTTAATCAAATTTACCTTTTATTTTAATCGTAGGATCCAAAAATAGAATAATATACAGGGTGTTCCATTTAAAAAATACAACTATAATATTTTTTTACATATTTGGGACACTGTAATCTTGTAAAAATATGTTTAAATTGAAGCTCTAATAGTCCTTTAACGAACCCAAAAATTAACAAATTGTAAATATCTAATCCTTTAGCTACAATACTCCGTGTCGTATGTGGTGAACAACCCTGTATATCTTAAACCCATGTTCGTAAACCTATCTATTTAAATTGCATAAATAGCAACCGTTAATCAGCGGCTCCAGACGGGAACCGCATTACGGGATAATAAACGATCCTAGGCATTGCCTCCCATCGACAGAAATTAATCATACCGTCACGGAGACTCACAACAGTTAATCGCTTCTACTCAATAGCAATAATTAAAATAGCAGGAGGCGTAAAGATAAGTTATTGTACTTCCTATAAGCCGACGCGATAGCCGGCTGTGGCCTGTAAACTTCCTGTATTGCCATCAGCGCCTCTCGAGGGGAATCTTCGGGTACTAGACACCACGCCTTCACTAACTACTGAAGACTGGTCTTCTACAAGTTGGGTATAAATTTAGATGCAATTAATTGGTGATTGTATTTAACGAAAAGCATTTCCTGAGTGTTTTAAACAAAATAAACTAATAAATATTATCCAAGTATTCATTCTACAAATGTTTGACAGGTGTAATTGAATTAAATTATGTTGTAAATTCCAGAAATCATTCCATCGCACGGTTTTTTTTTGTTTTGGACTGATAAAAAGGCAGGATAACGTCCAAGCTCAGATTTTTCGAAAAAAAACAAATAAGATGGAGCTTAAAAATGTAGACAAAACAAAAAGTTCAGAGGCTTAAGTTATACTAAACGAAAGGACAGCTGAAATGACCAAACAAGGTTCATCAATGCCATTTATTCAGTTAAAAAGAATGGTCACAAAACAGTGGATGGCCACCAAGTCTCTGGAATGGTGGAGAAACTCACCAGAGTAGAGCCAGGCGAAAAAGTTCATTGTATTTTGTAATTTTTTGTATTCGGCAAAATTTACGGTAGACGTGATAAGCAAAGACAGAAAGATTGGCTAAGCTGTAATGGATCTACTAGCAAGGCATTGTAAGCTTAATAGGAATAGAAAACAAATTTCTTGCAGTATAGGTATATATAATAATATTATATAAGGATTCTTGCCACTTAACTGCTGATATAGAAATTTAATTCTACGCTGTGTTTGTCATAATGTGGATCAACCTGCTCTCACTACCGGTTTCGGAGCCCTACTTTATCATCAGGTGAGCCTGGGCAGATCCACAAAATGACAACCACAGCGCAGAGATAGTTAACTCCGACTTGTCGGAAAGTGTCGGTTAGATATTAAGTCCCGAACAGGAGATAGCGGCCTGCGTGCAATGGTAGTACTTTCGTACCACCGAGAGACGCAACTATCGATAGTAAAAGGATGTTAAAAGGCTTTTTTTCAGGCAAGCCAAATTATAAAATAGAAAAATTAATATCTAACCGACACTTTCCGACAAGTCAGAGTTAACTCTACGCTGTGGTTGTCATTTTGTGGATCTGCCCAGGCTCACCTGATGATGTAGTAGGGCTCCGAAACCGGTAGTGAGAGCAGGTTGATCCACATTATGACAAACACAGCGTAGAATTAAATTTCTATATCAGCAGTTAAGTGGCAAGAATCCTTATATAATTTTATTACTTAATAGGAATCTAACTCTGATGGTATTGACCGATAAAGTCATGTACAGATTGTGTCAACATGAAGAAGAAATGACAGAATATAGTTTATGTCAGCTGGACAACCTGGCAAATGTGCGATTCTTTGATTGCTATTGACAAATGAAGGGTTAAGTTTCCAAGCCATTAGATATTTAGAAAAGAATAAAACTTGATTCAGAACCTCCCAATTAGGGGAATAAATTAGTGGTTTCAATTACACTTTATACTTTTTAGTTTACGATCATTCACAATGTCTAAAAGATACAATTAAAATTAATAAAATATCCTAGCAACAGCTTGCGGTAGTCTAATGTATCCATAGAGAAAGCATAATATTTTGTTTATAAAACAATAAATTTTTGATTTCTAACCAAAATTTTTCTTGGCGGATGATAATCAAAGGCCAAAATGGCATTCCTCGCAAATTTTGAAGTATAATTAGTGGAAAAGTCAAAAGTTAGTTAACTTTTTCGACTAATTGAAAATTACTACCACTAATTATGACGTTCTGAATGCTTACATTAAAAATAGCTGACCAAACTTCTAGGCTAATTAAAACCACTAATTTATTCCACTAATTGGGAGGTTCTGAATGAAGCTTAAGACTGAAAAATTTAACTCAAAGATCAGAAGAGGACCGCGATAGATCTGGAAAGGTAGCAGTCGAACAGAACAATAGCCATCTCAAAGTCTAACCTAAACTAACTGTGGCGATCAAATATATTAGTCGTCTAAGATTTTATATAATA